TGCAACAAATCACCGCGCTGGGTATAAGAAGCCGCGAGCCGAGCACACATGGGCAGATTGATACTTTTCTTTTTCCTTCTTGCTCTCATTGTATTTTGACTCGGTTTTAGCCAATTTTTGATGCAAAAAGGGATCACGAACATTCATATGCCCATTTCTTCTATTTCTACCCCAAAAAAGGGCTTTTACCCTTTCGAATATTGATCGTTGTTACGCCAAAAAGCTTCAGTCAATCAATCAGTATTTGCGATATAACAGCTTTTACCGTTTCTCATTTATCTGCGTATTTTGCTGGATTACCAAAAAGTTATTTATCTTTTGTCACTTAATTGCGCTTTTTCACAAAAAGGCAAAAAATAGTTCATAATATTTTCTTGTTCTGCGCTTACGTTGATATAAAGTGTCAAAGTCCGGCATAATTACGCAAGTTTGAGGAAAATAATTTGTGCGCCGATCGTGTGTGTATGTTGGTCTTGGTTGATCTTGGTTGTTCAGGAAGTTGCGGATATAGCGATCATATGGACTGGTGTTTCCGACTTTCAGTCCCTCCGCTCACTTGGTCGGACAGTTTTTCATTGCATGCTCGAGGATAAGAAATGTGGCCGAAGGAATGGAAATTCTTCGCAAGGAGGGTCGATGCTTCAAATGTATTGAACTGCGTGACGCGTTAAGTTGCAGGAAACATCCGATGTGCTTTTTGCAAGAAGGCTTACCCGTCGGCGTCACCATCACAGCAGCATGAGCACCAAGCAAGCATCTGCACCAAGCTCGAGGAATATATCGGAAGATTCAGCTACGGAAGGATCTTCTCAAGGGATGGACAGATGTAAGCAGGAGGTCATGAACCTTTAAAAATGCAGCACAGAAAGGCGAGCAAAAGGACGAGATCGGACACCGATTATCAATTGGGCACACTGACTCATAAGTCAGTATCTTCACAGGAATGCAGAAAACTAATGAAAATCATAAATAGCAACTGTGTTGTATAGTTGTGAGAACAGGCTTCACCTCTTTTTCACTGGCATTTTTTGTAATATGTTTACGAATATGTTGATGTATTCGCCGTATATAAGTTAGCGGTCAGAGAGGCCGCTATCCTTCTTTGCTTTTGTTTATTATTCTGACCTTTTCTCGCACAATTGATTTCAGATAGGGTCTACGCACTACACGATTCCTGGGTGATAATAATTTGGCCTGACTGTTTAATCTTGTAGTTGCACTAGGATCTAGTTTTAGCACGTTTGCGTATTTTATTTGTTAATTTTGATGAACGTTCAACTACCCAAGTTTGAAGAAATTCGCACGTTTCCAAGGTCCAGCGTGGCAAGCTAGCTGACACAAGTGTTTCATGATAAGTACTCGGTCAATATCGACACACATTACTATTGAGTTTGATTTGATAATCTGAAAAATAAATGAGAACAATTGGACATGTTACTAATGAGATTTAGACCGCCGCATACCATTGCGCGTTTATAGGCAGAGACTGCCTGCCGCGCACCATTCCACAGCGTTGTCGTTAATATTGAAAGATTTGCAGGTTGTTTTAAGAAACTGACAGAACTTTTGTAGTATACCGGGTGTCCCAAAACAATGTATCCACTGATTGATTGTTAATAACGGGTAAGCGCCATTTTGTGGAGCTGGCTTCAACCTGGATTTACAGTATAGAGCGAATCACCGACCGCTCTTCATTACTGTAAGATTACGGTAGAAAACTTGGAACATTCACTGTGAAAAAAACTTCATTCAAAAATTTTTCAAAAAAATGTGAAAAACTTGCGTAATAGGGTTTTTGTGGACGCTGAGTTTAACACTCAACTATGCGCAAGATTGCGAAGCTTTCTAAACGGTGTAACCGCACTTTTTAGGAGCATTGAGAAAATGCCCGCTACTGCTTACCCCGCATAACTCTTCAGTGAAGCATCGTAATAAGTTGGGAACACATTTAGAATCAGCAACTCTAATTAGCCCAGTGTAAAGGCTTTCAGGCTTTTTGATTCCTTTCTGAGGCAAAATATGGCCTTTCATGGCCCAAAACCCTCTTTCAAGTTTCTACCGTAATCCTACAGTAACGGAGAAAGGTGGACGATTCGTTCTATACTTCAAATCTAAATTGAAGTCAGCTCTACAAAATGGATCTTACCGCTTCTCGAAAGACCTCATAATAAGAGAGTTATTAACAATCAAACAGTGGATACATTTTTTTGGACACCCTGTATACTCCGTGGCAATAAAAACCGACAAAAACTGAAACAACCTATTATATGTAAACGCTCACGAAATCAGAATCTGCAATGATTTTCTGATTTTTCTGATTTTTGCCTGAAAACAAGAGAATTGCTTGAAAATCTTCCAGAGTAAGCAAGCAAGATGAAAAAAAGCTGTCTCAGTGGAGCCGGTGGTAGAATTGCCGATATTTTGTAGTTTCTTGGCGTGTGCTTCTGAAACTTCCCAATTTGTATGTTATTTATGTGCCTATGCAAATATACAATAAGGAAGCGCATTAAAGGCATCGCCCACCCAAATTTTTGATTTCTATGCTTTTGTCGTTCCGATTCTTATGTCCCTAATTCCAAAGGATGTATGTCGAAAGGCGCGCGTTTCCTAAGCCTTCATTTCCAGACTAGATCAGTTCTCTACAACAGCGATTTTTCCAGATTCCAAAACTTTTTGTAGTACATCAGAAAGCGTAATGGAGAATAACCAGTTGAAATCGGAAAGTATTGAATAAATTTGAACTTATTTCTTGCTTCTCCCAGTTAGTGACAATCGATCAATACGCGCCATTCGACCGTCTCCCAATTCCAAGTATCATGTCGAGAATGCTCGAAAACCCCGACACTCCACTTCGCAGTTCTCCGGAACGGTGAATAATCGAGTGCGCACGGATGGGCGGGACGAACGTCACTACTACTTAAAGGCAGCGTACACCCAAAACAAATGCAACAAATGTTGCAACAGCAACTGCAACTGCAATTGCAGCTTACGCTGTTACGGATTCGTCCGGAGGAGGTGGAGCGAAAGAAAAGGGGCGGCGTGAAAGAAAATTGAGGGGGGTTTACTCCGCTCAGAAGCAACATTGGCAGACCGGACCAACGCAGTTGGTCTTCTTCTGGGCCCAGTATATACACGGTGTAGAAAGATCTAGAAAATTCGGTAACTCAAATTTTGGGTGTACGCTGCCTTTAAAGGCGAGGAGCCAACATGGCGAGTCCGTTTTTGAAGAGATTTTGAAACATTTTCTTGCTTCGAAACAACTTTTGGCAGGCGATATTACAGTTGGGGTCCCGCTACTGCTAGGCGTCAAAATCTCATCAACCCCACTTAGGTAGACGGTACCTTTAATCCCTGCGGGGGGGGGGGGGGGGGATGGTGGAGATCCCAACTTAAACGAGAGCTTCAAATCCTGAATCTCCAGATATCTGAATTTGACGCTGTCTATCCATCCATAAATATTCCTGCTACCCTTTACCATATTTACCATGAACATCTTGAACAGGAAGGAAAAGCTGTACAAGCCACATTTTCCAGCCTTTCCTATGATCTCCTGATAATCGTTGGCCGCCGAGCGTCTTTTCTTCTAACAAAAAGTTATTTTTCACTTTTTAAACTTAGTGAAAAATGTCCCATAATGTCCCAAAAACATCCCAAATTGAACTAATTATCTAATCAAGTGCTAAGCATGTTTCGGATACATATAAATGATATCTGACTTGTTGGATTAGATAGTTTATATGACCGTGGGAAGTTCTCACGGTCAAACTTATAGAAGGAAAGTCATTATGAAGAAGAAGAGTGGCCGCAGGAAATCATCAAGCGATCCTACAAAACGCTGGAAAACGCTGCTTGCACAACTTCTCGCTCCTATTTATGTTATGTTATGTTTCTTATGTTTATGGTGAAGGGTAGTACTAGGTTATAAATCTTGCATCAAAATTTTTGAAATCCTGTTACTTCCTCCAGCTTCAGTGAAATCTTCCAATTCGATACATTATGAAGAGAGAAAACCTTGCATTTTCTGTAGGTGCTTGAGTTTAAATTCCTTGTGGGCATAGGGCAATGATACATATAAGCTCATTAAGAGAGATACCCAAAACGTGATTTTTCAATTTTTGGTCACTAGTATTGCTAAAATGTCCACTAAAATTCAAATTATTTTTATTCTTGCTTTTATGTCATACTTTTCTGACTAAGAGAAGATGATAGTGATCGGATATTTCTGCGATTGGTTACCAATTTTTCAAATTGACTTAGTGATTTTTCATATTGAATATCTAAATCGTACTATGAAATATCAGATTTGATATAAATAACAAAAGGCATATTCAGAAAATCGATTAGTTTGTTTGAGCATTCTTAGAACTTTTGAAAACTATTTCTTTGTGCAATATGTGCATCAACATAATAGAAACACTTGTTCCCGATGTCTAGAGGTTTATAACATGAAGTTCTCTTTTGAAGCTGTTTTCCCCCTCTCTCCCTCCCCCCTCCCCCTCCTAGCGGGGATGTTAATGCATGCGGCCCTGAGAAATAGAAAAATTTGGGACAGAAAACACTTAAAGGACTACTCCAGATCTGAGCTTGTATTGCAACGAGTGCACGGTATTACTGATCACACGTCGAGTAACCTCTCTACGCAAAGTTACATCAAATTCGGAGATCTTGACCCACAAGGGTGCCTACCGCAATGCTGATCGAAAGCCGCATATTGCGAAATTAGTCATTTTCATGATCAGCCTATCAAGACAATTTTTGGCAAAAACGCATTGTTCAATTTTTGGTTACATTGTGAATAGTACCCAAAATTAAATAAGGTGAGACCACAGTCAGAAACCGGTAGGTCAAAGTTTCGAAATGCACTACTGCATTGCATTGTTTACTTGCATCAAGGCACTGCGTCACAGATAAACTCGTCCGTACCAAAACAGCTGACTCGCAGTGTTTTGTCGGCTGTTTTACTATTCAGCAGCGTGATAAGAAATGCCCGACCTGCCCTCATGGAAAAAGCGTACGGCTGGGTCTACGATGTGTGCGATGGGAACGAATTGCTTATCAAGTAAGCTGATCCACAAAGCAGCGATCTAATCATCTTCAAGCGTTATTTCAGTATCATCGCTGGAAATCTTGTAACGACTTCATTTTTCTATCTCTTCAATCTCTTCTTTGTCTTTATCGATGCTTTTGAACCTGAATGGAGTAGAAAATTCAAGATCCAGGAAAATAAAAAGGTGAGACAACAATTTTCCTCTCCCTGACGATATCTACAAAAACACGAGAAACATTCTCAGTTATAATGATATCACTTTTTCTAATTGGGTACATATGGCTGATATCATTGGGCCATTGTGCAAATACGATTCATCGATTACTGTTGTCCACCAACTCATCTGATAAAATATTAGGTTGTTACATAAGTCTTGTTACACTTTAAATTCTTACGGCGATAAGTCATGCACCACATACTCTTTATAGGGCTCCATAATACCATTCGATAGACCAAAACAAGCTCTACAAGAAGGTATGCAAAAGTTCGCACCAACTTCAACCCACAGTAAGTTTGCACTCAAAATCTGAGTCGTACTGAAGGCTCAAAAATATGGAAAAATTCATATCTCCTTTCAAAAAGTCCTGCGCATCCCCATCTTGCTCATACAAATCCCACACTATATCAGACACTTATATGTACTGTCGCTGTATTTTTTCCTCATCTAGATATTGAGAAAACGAAAACTTTCTTGTTTTTACAAAAACGGAGCTATGCTGTTTCTATGTATGTAGTTGCATAATACAAGCCCTTAGAAGTATAACCGTAAATTTTCAGCTTTCCAGAAGCTTTAGTTTTCGAAAAATACCTAATTTAGCATTGAGCACGCGACTGAAAAGCTAAATTCGATATTTTTCGAAAACTAGGGTTTCTGGAAAGCTGGAAATACACGGTTATACTTCTAAGGGCTTGTAGCATATGCACAACTCAGTGGCGGTCCCAGGATTTCGGACCGGGGGGGGGTGCGACAAAAAAATTTTTTCAAATGAAGGTGCGTGATGTCAGCCACGCACTCAAAAAAATTTTTGAGGTGCTTCTCAAAATTTTTGCGGGTCGCCAAACCCTAAAATCTGGAAAAAGGGGGCGTGGCTGACCCGTGGCTAAAAATTCAAATTAGCCTTGTAAAAAAATTTTTTTTACAAGGCTAATTTGAATTTTTAAAAAGATTTCAAAAATTATTTTAATTATTTTTGAAAATAAACAAGTCGTTCGCACATAACCCATATAGTAATTTTCAAAAATTTCGCGACCCATTCTCGGCCCCCCCCCCGCCCCCCCCCCTTGGACCGCTACTGGTACAACTACATGACTAGAAACAGCATAGCTCCGTTTTTGTAGAAACAAGAAAATTTTCGTTTTCTCAATATCTAGATGAGGAAAAAATACAGCAACAGTACATATGAGTGTCTGATATAGTGTGCAATTTTTATGAGCATGTTGGAGATTCGTGGGATTTTTTTTTGAACAAAGATATGAATTTTTTTTTAATTTTTTGAGCCTTCAGTGTGACTCACATTCCGGATGCAAACTTACGGTGACTCGGAACTGGTGCGAACATTTGCATACTATTTTGTAGAGCTTGTTTTGGTCTATCGAATGGTATCATGGAGCCCTATAAAGAGTATGTGCATGACTCATCGTCGTAAGAAATTAAAGTGTAACAAGATTATGTAACAACCTATTATTTATTTTTACTGAAGCTCGACAAAAAAAAAACGGTCTTAACAATTGCAAGAATCTCAAAAACTTTGATGAAGGTATCGATGAAAATGGATTTGAAAACTTTTTCAGGCTACAATATCGAAATATGTTGAGTCAGTCAAGCAAGTGTTATTCAATCAGCTGATAGTTGGTGGTCTTACAGTCGCAGTATTCCACTACCCAATGAAGCTAGCAGGTAGCTTTTTCTACTATGTCTTAAATCTCAAATCAGCTATAATTATTTATAATCAATCTGCGTTTTTCCAATTTGTAGGAGTGTCTTTCGGAAAGAATCTGCCAAGCAGTCAAACAGTCCTGCTACAGATACTCTTCTGCATAGTAATTGAGGAGATAGGTTTCTATTACACCCATAGGTAAGAAATACTCATTTTTCTGCGAGAGTGAGAAAATTTTTAGGCTATTTCATCATCCCAAACTGTATAAACATATTCACAAAAAGCATCATGACTGGACGGCACCGGTTTGTAAGTTGCACAGTTTCCCTTTTCGAATGTAAAAACATATGTCTATTGCAGCAATCACGAGTATCTATTGTCACCCGATTGAGCACGCCTTCTCCAATTTGACTCCAGTGCTTCTAGGTGAATTTCTTGTGTCTTTGAAGGTCAAAAAGGTTGGATAAAGCGATTGTAAAGCGCTGGGAAATGGTGCATTCTTTGGATATATAATTATTTTGTATCCTATAAATTTACATTGTTAGCATCTTCTTTGCAATGAAATGCTACAAAATTTTACGAGTAAGGCTGTATATACCCAAATGACTAGCCTAAAGTTTGCTTTTCACATAGGCTTTCTTGACAATAATCTGTAGCGGTACATGTTTTCGTCTATAATTGTGTGATTATAGCCTGAGCGAACAAATCTGACTGTAAAACAGATACACAAAATCTGAGTTACGTTCCCTACATATAGAAACACCTGCATGTTTTTACAACGATAGCACGATCGTTCTGTCATACTTCATATTAAACCAAAAAAAACTAGCTTCTCTCATTCTCTACAATATCTTCTCTGAAAAATAAGGATTCTCTTTATGAAAGCTTCTTGAGCAAAAATCGCTCCGTTATGCGAACCCATTTTTTCAAAAAATTCTCAGAAATTACTGATGAACTACAAATTTTTCCATAGATTCTATGAGAACTATGTGCCAGTGTCACAAATATCAACGTGTCATCATTTTGACATGTTTTCTTCTAAACCGCCTCTGCTAAAGTAGGAGAGTGTTTGGGATGACTTAAAGGCAGCGTCTACTCAAAATTTGCCTCCCATGTTTTTGCCATTCCGGGGGCTTTCCGTGGTCCTGACTACAGTTATGAAGTTCAAGTATTCCAAAAACCACTAAGAACCCGATTCCTGAGGATTCTGTCTTGAGGGCACGGGCGACATTCACTACATAGGTGGGCGGAGTCTGATAGGATTTGGGCGGGGCCTGATAGGAGTTTGGCTGTTCCAGGTCCCTTATCTCCATTCAGAGACAACATTAGAAGACCGGACCAACGCGTGTGCCCCTCTCGTGGGGCTTACATTCAGGATCGGCCCTAATCAGAGGGGGGTCAGATTTAGCCTGGACACTGCCTTTAACAGCTTCTGGCGACTTGAGGCTTATGGTATAGCCTAGTGTGTACAGGGCGTATAGCAGGCCCTTTTTAGTACAATGTGAAAGTGGTTCAGTGGTTATGTTTATCAGGATATTGACAAGGTGCTCGGGAGAGCGCAAAACGAAGAGTGCGGGGCTACGCGCCCCGCCCCCGATGCAAGAAAGGGGGCCGCCATCGGCAGGGGTTCTGGCATGGCCAGAACACTCCGCGTAAATGTGTTGGCTGTAGGCTTTATTGTAGCCTTAGGCGAATGGGTGGCGCCTGTAGTGGAGTATGGTGACTCCTGATGTGTTATTAGAACCCTTAAGCTGTTAGAGCTTTATTGAACAGACGACATGCACCCATTCGTGCATTGGTAGAATGCTAACAATTATAGGTGGAGTAAGCTAACGTAGATACGTCTGGGCAATAAGATACTTTTATCACAGCAGGTCATGCCATAGGCATGACCTTTACGGCCCTTTGGTAGGAGTAATGATACGGCTGTGAGAAAGTGCCGACAAAGTCGGCACACAGCTGTTCAACTTTTTTTATAAAAGCAAAACAATCCAAAACGTTTATTGGAACACCTTTATCGATTTCAAATGAACCAAAATGTCCCTCTATCTGTTTCCCTAGGCCAATTCAACCAGGAAAGAATTCAAGTGGTTTTGATTTAACTCGCTGCCCCTTAATTCGCCGCTTAGATGATGGGACCCCCCAAGCACTTCACCGTTTTGGGCAATGCAATACGTCCGTCGAGAACAAGGCGACATTCTTTGAGATAATGTTTTTGAGATAGTTTGAAAATGGGGATTATTGGTTAGAAAATAGATTGAACTCACAGGCCTTTCTGTGAAATGAGACCATACATGGTACAAAAAGAACAATATCGCTATTTGAAAATAGGGTCCGGATATCGGGAACCGAATTTTCTACTGAGCAAACCCTCGTTTGAAAAATTTGACTATTTAATTTTAGTCATGACCATGTTTTTATTTGTGTTATATAGAACAAAACTTCGAGAGTTCGGTTCTCGATTGAGGTCGAGATAACACAATGGGTGCGAAAATACTCTATGAACTGTAGGTCATCACCTCAAAATACCATGTCTATGTTGATTTTTGATTTTTAGATCACTGCTAGATTATATTTTAGGAGGCTATCAGGTGCTAAGCGCTTTGCTTTCTCATGAACAACTTTTTCGTGAACCCATAATCAGCCAAATTTCGGTTGAAACGTAACTAAAAAATCTGAATGACAAACTTCAATTTGATAGATTGATCACTAAAATTGGCTCAAAGTACAATAGTTTTTGAAGCTACCAAAATTATCTCAGAAAAAGTTGTAGAAAATTATTGGATTGCCGAAAAAAGGCAGACTTTCGCACAAATAGTCCAAATAAATCAGATTTATGTCAAGTTTTAGCAAAATCAACTCAAACTATCAAGCACAACTCTTCCCATTACTACTACTTTCTGGCAATAAACGAATACCAGCACAAAAATTGCTAAGACTTTTAGTTGTAAGGAAGTTCAAAACAAGGTCTCGCTATTTTACAGATGTTAAGGCCCTTTAACTGAGGATTCTCATGCAAGTAGTAAATCTTTCAGTAGTTAGCCTAATGTAAAGTCATGCGCGGAAAAGAAGGGTTTGCTAACAGCTGAATGTTTTTTGCAGCACTAGAATGTAATAACTGACGTTTCAGTGTGAAATATCTACGCTTTCAGGAATTTTCTATCGATAAAGTGAATCACTCTATTAACCAGTGGATCATTGAGCGCATGCACTGGATTTGTATGTAATTGCAGGTCCGACCCTCTGCGGGGCCCATGTGACCACTCTGTGGCTTTGGTCATGCATTGCCATAATGTCCACTACGTTTTCTCACAGTGGATATCATTTTCCATTCCAACCATCTCCAGAATCTCATGACTATCATCACAAAGTGTAAGTTGGATTTTTAAATTTATGGTGATGAAATGAGGTCGTAATGTGATTTTTTCTTGTAAGTCTAACTTTCTCAAGGAAAGATACCGTCGCTTTGGAGTTCTAAAAGAATTTTGCATCACACTCGATACTGAAACTGAAGTCGATCATCACTCGTATCTGCTGCGTGATTCCCGAAAAAGCATGTGATAGTGGATATGCCAAGAAACTTATCTTCACCAAAAACGCAGTTGAAAACTTTTTGGTTTCTAGTGTACGCTCTCTCTTTATAGCCAGAACTACGACAGCAAAGCACTTTCAGTCAGACCGAATCATGGCATGTCATGAAATATACCTTTTCTTTCTGAGAATGAGTTTCAAACCGTTGAATTTTCCGAGTACTGAATTCACATAGGCGCATCAGGGCACAGTAATCTAATTTTATAAATCTCTTTCCAAGCTGGCACTGAGATTTGTAATTTCCTTGTAAGGCTTTTGAAATAATGAGAGTTGTAGTATCCAAGACTTCAATGCACAGTTTATACACAGGTTCAACGAGTGCTATGGTGTACTTGGAATTCTTGACCATATTCATGGCACGGCATCAACATTCGAAAGGTTAGCCGTATATTCAACTCACGCACGTATCACTAGCTGTCAATAGCAGTTACCATTTGAGATCTGTGCACTACAAGAGACATGGAACGTACTTCTCTCTGAAACCAATCAAGGAAATTTACCCGGACGAAGGAAGGAAACGTTGAACAATATTGTGAACATTTGTGATTGTTTTCCAATAAAGAAACCCATTGCCGAATACTAGAGATTTTGGTCAAGAACTCAACGTACGCGCCGTGGAAGCGGCTCAGGCTGGTAAATACCCGAACACCAGACACACTAACAGTTTATCTATTAATCGCGAAGACCATGAAACAAGAATAAGTGAATTACATATAAGGCAAGTGAACATAATGGTAACGATGATCCGTGACACAAGATGTAGCTCGCTAGTCGGGTAGGCATCAGCCCTGGAGGGGAAGCTTCGGGCAGCCGGTCGGTATCGTGTCTCTCGCCATACTCCTCACAGCTTAGCTTGCTTGATCACGCCCTGAACAGATGGACTATAATCTCTCGCATATCATCACGTACCTACTGATGTTTACATTCCTACGGCTACAGTTGCTACTAATGCTTACACCTCCCCTATTTACCAATAAGTCCGTCCTCGGACTTGAAACTAGAAAAAACATTGTTATGGAAGGCTAAAATAAATGTAAAATTCTCACCGTTGTGCCGGAGGCAGATATATGTCGAGTTCGGGAGCGGGGATAACGGCATGCCGTTCGTCGGCCCAAGTGAGTACCAAATTCCAAATGTTGATCGGACGTAGAGAATGTACATGGCCCAGCACGAACAAACCCTGTCTAGAGCGAGTTAAGGCCACATTCATACGGTTTCGGTCGTTCAGAAAGTCGCCGGATGCGGGATCGAAGTGGGTTCGCGTGGTCAGGAGAACGACGATTTCTTTCTCCCTGCCCTGGATCGAATCGACGGTCGTCAGTTCAATATGGTTCTCGTGTGCGAAGTCCGTCAAGCGTCGCATCTGTTCCTTATAAAAGGAAAGAATGCTGATGGCCGCTGGGCTTATGCGCCGACTCAAAAGACGGGTTACGATCGTTTGACAGAGGTCGGTTTCGGTTGCGTTGAAATATGATCGACTGGGTGCCTTTACAGAAGTGCCCTCGACATTCAAAAAGAGGAATGGGGTAATCGGGCGGTGATCGGAGAAAATACGGGTGAGATGGCCGTAAATCGTAGCTTTAAAGAATCGAAGGGCGCTGACCATGGCGAATAGTTCTATGTGCGTGGGACTCCACTTCTGTTGCGATTGTGATAACGCCTTACTATAGTAGCCTATCGCTACCAGTGATTTCTCGTCCTGTGCTGACTGCTGGAATAGCGCGGCCCCTACTGCAATCTGACTGCCGTCGGTGTGTAGGATGAAGTCGCGTTCTTGAGGAAAAGCTAGACAAGGCTTGGTCATCAGTTTGTTGCGTAATCTATCAAAGGCTTGCTGCTGTCGTGAGCCCCACTCGAATTTGGCTTTATCTTTTATTAGCTCGTACAGAGGCGCCGCGATCGCCGCGAAATTTTGTATGAACTTGTGAAAAAAGTTAACCATGCCTAGAAATCGTTTCACTTCCTTAGCCGTGGTTGGAACTTGGATACGCTTGACTGCTTGATTCCTGTCGCATGGGTAGTACCTGTCTCCAGAAATTTCGTGGCCGAGAAATGTAACTCTAGAACGTGCAATGTCCACTATTTTCTTGCCTGATACCTTGATATCGAAGTCGCGAAAGCGGCAGAATACCTTACGTAGGGATTGTAAATGACTCTGAAAATCTTTGTCGAAGACGACAATATCATCAAAGTAGGCCAAACAATTTTCTTCCAGCCCTGCCAAGATGCGAGACATGGCGCGCGAGAAGTAAGCTCCTGCGTTCTTCAGTCCGAAAGGGAGATATACGAATTAATAAATTCCACGATGGGTTGCCCACCCGCACTTAGCTTGACTCTCCGGCGACAGCAAGAGTTGCATGTAGCCGGATGCCAAGTCGAGGGAGGTATAGTATTTCTTACCAGCTATCTTTTCTAAGATGTCGTCGATGCGGGGTAGGGGATAATGATCAGGAATGGTAATCTCATTGAGTGGGCGAAAGTCTAAACAGACACGAAGGGAACCGTCACGTTTTTTGACTAATACCGTGTTGTGTACCCAAGGCGTATCGCTCTCCTTTATCCTGCCTGCTTTCAACAATTTATTGATATGGTCGTCAAGCTCCTTTTGAAACTTAACTGGAATTCGAGTAGGCCGAAACCTAGTGGGAGGTATCTCGGTAGTGGTCTTGATATGAATTTCTTCGCAGTCGTATGAACCCAAATCGTAGGAGCTATGAGATATTCTATCACTGAATTCATGGAAGAATGCGCGGAGTTGCTCTCTCTCTTTTTCGGAAACCTCCGCTCTGCTAAGATCAACTTCGAACTCTGTTTTTATTTCTGGTAAGGGATGGCTATCAGCCAACGTGACAGGTTGTAAAGCGCGCAAACTTAGGGCAAAAACGCTTGGATCGGAGAGGACCCCGTTCTCCTCCACTAAGGGAGTCGCTGTGGATAGTTTTTGATCTCTATATAACACCTGTGGCCTACTAGTAGGGTTTGTCACCAGTATGTGCACCGTACCTGTACTAAATACCGTGGGAGAGACGAGTAACGAACGTTGGAGAAGATCGTCGGATTGTGTGACCAGCATGATCGGCGCGTGAAGCTCGCGGAAGTATAGCATGGGACATAGGTTTCAGTTCCCGGCTGCAAAAGTGTAGTTGTAGCAACACGCACAATAATGTCGCCATCACCTTCCTGTAGCCCTCGCGTGGACGTGCCCAAAATGCGAATCTGTTCCACGTTCACCGAAAAGGTGCTATTTTTATAATCGATAAACCATGGAGGCAGTTGCGATAACACATTATTACCTAAAATCAGATTGAATGAAGATGCTTGGCGCGGGATAGACGATCCATCTGTGAAATGCACCGTGGCGGCAAGCTTATGTGAGCCTACCTGGAGCTGCAATAGCGCGCAGCCCATGAGAGGAATGGGAACGCCCTCCATTCCTACTGCGGTGTGTACCGGGCTGCTATCGAACCGAAATATGCCCACCAGCGTAGCTAATTCGCGACTTGCGACGGATATAGCAGCACCGGTGTCTATCAATCCTAACATGGCTATCACATTCGCCCTGACAGGTATCTGCGCCACGAAAAAGTTACTACTGTCATATGGCGACAGAGCTTGAACGGGTGCAATAGTCAATTTGGGTGGCCATGCGCGCGTAGAATCGAGCGCGACGCGTGTAAGCTTGAGAGGTTGGTCTTCCGTGGCACTTGGGGCTAAAGCCATAGGAAGTGAAGAAATCGGAATGTGAGTTGATGTCGCGGCGGACGGGGGAAAAGGGGAGGATGCCTGCCAGTTAGGAGCGATTATGCGCGATAGTATTTTTCCATATGACATGTTGAGGTAAAGAAGAAATGCCCTCTTGATGACTGTGAGTGTAACTAGAGCGCAACAAAAAGTGACCCATATATTATACGGAGAAAACCCGATCAGGGTGGATATGAAAGACGAACCGTCACCGAAGTGTGGCTCCGCAGTAGCTTGAGACTCGTGCACGGTATCGCCAAGCGCGCCAATGATAGCTTGTAAATTATGAGATGTCCAAAGTTCCTGTAACTGATGGTCTTGCACCAGTTCGCTAATGTTAGTAAGTACCAAATTATGGAAGATTGTGAGTGAAGGAGAGAAATTAATATCCTGTGGCGTAGAGGTTAATGAAATGTTGCGAATAGATAAATTGGAAATCTTAGAGAATGTATGTGATGTTGCATCGTACTGGAGAACCCCATCAGGGAGTGGAAAATAAAAAGGGCGGAGTGTAGCACACGGTACTGGAGTTACATGTGATGTGAGTACCCAGTTGTGAGGGTCAATGAATGTGATCCAGGAGGCTCCGCTGGGCAAAGTTACTTGGATTGGGGGTCCGTTGTAACAAGTGGAATTGAAGGGTAAAATGCGGTAATTCGAGTTGGGAATGCGTATACAATTATGGATTTGTACCAAGCCGTTGCCTAGATAGGAGGCTGCCACATCGGGACGATTGAGCAATTTTCGCACGGTGTAAGTTGGATCTGACTTGAGGGATGAATGGAGCGAAAACGCGAGAGAATTAGTACGGTCACACAATGAGGCCAAAGCATGGTGAAATAGCGTGGTGACGGAAGATTGAACTGTATCCTCTACCGCTAACAGCTGCGCTGCAAGCTGATTAGATGTCACGATTCCTACTTGTGGCTGTGTGGAACGCCTTAGCCGTTTGACTTTTGTGATTGCATAGCCCTGGTCCGTGACAGTGAGTGAGTGTTGACAGTCCAGCAGAGTAGGGCTATCGTCGCACCATGACAAGGCAAACTCCTTTGAGTCGCTTATCCACACGTTACCCAGCAGGTGACCGCGCATTTTGGAGATGAGAACGTAAGCACAAAGTTCTTCCTGAGTTAGGGTCCACAGTAAGACCGATCCTTCCTTGAGTGTGCAAGACCCGTCCCTATAAGAGCAATGCCGAACATCTCCTACCGCTGTATCAGGGAACTGGGAGTCATGACGCGCATGGATAGTTGTTGGGGTTAGGTAACAGTTCGTTACTTTAACCCGATGTTCCGCGCAACAACCGAAGGGTGCGGAAGGGAACTCGAAAATGAGCTTATTATCAGTTTTGAATGACTCCCCAGATGGTAGCATGGTGCCGAATTTGCACTTATGGTGTTGCTTCATTTGCCTACAGTGCTCTACGGAAACGGTCTTATAGGTCTCCGAGTTTGCTTGACGGCGCGCCCCAAAAAAGTTGACGGAATAAACTACGGAGTGCTCAACTATTCTACACAAAACCGCTGGGGTATCGTAGCGCTTAGAATTGGGTCGATAGACGTGTAGTGTAGTGATAACAGGGGCGCTAGTGATGTTAGGGATTAGGTACGAGCAATTGTACGAGAATGGTATATGGCTGAGAGGATCTGATTTGTCGTGTGGGCATAGCCAAGCAGGCTAAGAAGTTGTACCAATAATGCAAGAGGAGATGATTACGGAGGCAAGGTACAAAAAATTGACGTTGGGAAGAATGGATGTAGGAGTAGGTGTGTGATGATGACCAAAAGCCGAACGGGCGAGCTCTTCATTACGCTGCACTAGTGCCGAAATACGAGCATTAGAGTTTTCAAGAGCTGCCTGATTTTGTTCCAGAGATAGGGAAAGAGACTCAATTTGCTTGCGCGCTTCCTCTAGTTCGTTGTTAGAATGAGAATGAGGTGAAATGCTAAGCAGGCTATGAGAAAGCCTACGGTTAAACGCGGGCGAGCGAGAACAAAATGATGGCCTAGGGCTGCGCGATCTCAGAAAATGTGATGCGAACCTACCTGTCTGTTGACGTTGCCTCCTTCTTGATGGGCACTCCGGTATTGTGTGTCCTCGACCACCGCAGTTGTAGCAGTAAATCTCGTTAGCAAAATCGTCTTGCAACCTTCGTGCCGGTGGGTCCTGGAAACGTACGCGGTTAGCGCCGGGTTTTCTTTTAGTCAGGTAGCTTTCTCGACGATATGAGCCCCGAGTACGGAGCGGGCTAGAAGGACGTGACTCATTGCGCACAGGTGAATTGTACGTAGGGCGAGGTAAAGGCTCGACTGCACTCACACTCACCGTTAAAGATGCATGGGAAGGATGAATAAGCCGATCTTTGGAGGCTTCGGCCAGCAAATTCTCCACCCGCTCAGCTTCAGCTACCGCGGTTTCGAAAGATTTTGGATTGGCGTACTTCACATGAAATCGTAAATCTGAATTCAATCGTTGCAAAAATTCCTGAAGAAACAATTCATTATTGAGAGAAGGGTCTTTACCTGTTGCCGTGCGCAGCAAATTCAAGAGACGAAAAGCAAAAGCGGAAATGGATTCACCCGCGGCTTGTCGACATGTAGATGACTTCTGTCTCGCATCTGCCATCTGTTTCGGTCCTTCGCAATGCTTACGCAAAAGAGCAACGATCGCCTCGTAATTACGTTTATCGGTTTCTGACAGTGTCTCCACTCTCTCTCTAGCAACAGATTCCAAATGCGCAACTAAATAATTAGCCTTGTCTTCAGTCCCGTTGACGGTTGCTCCATGCGTGCCTTCGAGCGAGTAGAGGGACCCATGTAGACGTGAGGGTGAACGCGAATGCTGGGATGAAGCAGAACATGCTATATAAGAGTTTATATACCCGCGCCTTATCTTATATTACGTGCAGATTTCTAAAAGATATGATCTATGTTTATGACACAACGCGCGAGGCAAGTATGCCGAGAAAAATCAGAATGGGCTTATCTTGTATTTCGTTATCTGCTCCCTTTATCTGTCCACGCCCGCAAGGAATGTATGCCTTACTGTGGTATTTTCTCATAGCTCTTATCTATGTATATGATCATACCGTGTGCTTCCTCACGCCCCTACCTATGTTGACGGAGTTACTGTACTGATGTGTTATCGATAATTTTCCCAGGGATGGGAGTCTTACCAACAGCATTGTTATGGCCAATGGGATATTGAAAAAATTCTTGGAGAAGCGAAAATTGAATATTGTCACGAGAAAGCCGCACGCCGAAGCCGCATGAAATACAAATATTATTCCTAGTATAGACGCGAACACGCGTGATGGCGCCCAAAAGTACCAGTAGTTTTGTTCATTTGAAGGTATTTTTGATTGGCGGTATTTCGGGACTGCGGGGTGGACGTAACCCTATACTAGTACAAAAAATAAATGGTACATTGAATGAAAGCGTGGTGCGATAACCGCGCAAGTCGATTTCTCGGCATGAAACAGACAAAATCCTAGGAGATTGGGAAATACTAAGAGGTTTGCCCTTATATACGGTTGTCGTCATCGGGAGGAAAAGTGTTTGGAATATAATACTTAAGGAATGAGCCGGGAGAGTAAGATTGGTTTTGTGTCAAAATGCTGTTTCTGAGGCTGCCGAAAGACGGACGGAAACATGGACGCGAACACGTGTAAATTTAGTAAGCATTACCGTACGAAAGAGAGGAACATTTCAAAATTTTTTTCGAGAAACAGAAAAAGGATCTCACGGTGTGAAATGAACCAATTCTTTCAGAGAGTGACGCGAACACGCGTGATTTTAAGACTTAAGCATCAGCAAAAACGTCCAAAATGTGATTCGAGGGGTATTTTTGCCTTCTTCAGCGGAAAAATGAAGAAAATGAGAATAGGAGAAAGCATGAAGCGACCATGACACTAATAATATTATTAGAAAGGAAGAGAACGGAATAAAACATATTATTGCAAGAGAACAATAAAAACGAAATTGACTCACCCGTACTGAAAGTAGCAGCGGCAGCTCGCGCAGAGGACGAGCGTGAAGATGGCATGCGTTATCAAGCTTACGATCAGGCCGGCTCATGCTAGAAGCTTGATTGATTGAATACTCTGCTTGCAAGACTACCATGAACGAGGGACATTCCACGTAATACATTACTGACTTACATACAATACAAAAACAACATGGGGCGAGTATAAAATACAGGGTGTCCCAAAAAAATGTTAACACTGTTTGATCGTTAATAACTCTCGTGCTTTCATGTCTTTCGCCGAGCTTGAGGCACCATTGTGTAGAGCGAGGATAAACTTAGATTCATAGTATGGAGCGAAACACCGTTTGCTCTTCGTTACTGTAGGATTACGGTAGGAATTTCGACAAGGATTTTAGGCCGTCAAAGGTCATTTTCTGCCTCGAAACAGAGCCAAACAAGCCAAAATCTTTTGTACTATGGTAATGGAAGCTGCTGATTCCGAATATGAAATTCTTACTTTACTATGATGCTTCTTTTCAAAGTTATCCTAGGTAAGCTGTAATAACTGACTTCCCAGCATGTGTCAAAAATGTGGTTACCCCGTCAAAAAGCCGAAAACACTCGTAGAAAGTTGTGTAGTGGAATCAGCGTGCGCGTAAACCCTAGTGTACAATTTTTCGGATTTTTTGAAAAAAATTTTGTCAGATGGCATATTTCACAACGGTTCCACATGCTGGAAGTTCTTGCCGTAATCCTACAGTAACGAAGAGCAAACGGTGTTTCGCTCCATACTACAAATCTAAGTTGATCCTCGCTCTACACAATGGTGCCTCAAGCTTGGCGAAAGACATGAAAGCAAGGGAGTTACTAATGATCAAACAGTGTTGACATTTTTTTGGGACACCCTGTATAAAGAATTGTAGATTTCGGACTAAATTGGCAATATTATATATACATGCCCGACTTATCGGTGAAACGTGTCAAAAAGGGATCCAAACTGATACGGCCGTTATGTAATCCTTTCAAGTAAATTTCTCGCAACCCTCAAGCGGATGCTGCCCCGCGAAACTACCTCGAGGCAACTCTACTGGACTCCACCATACACATTTCCCAGCCGCCGGCAACACAAAACCAATTCACTTTGGGCGAACGCCTAGCCAAAACACGAGTCCTTAATCCGCGAGAAAACATAACCTCAACCCGGGGAGAACACCGTATACCTTCTGAATACGCTGGGACAGTACCAAACCAATACTCACCTCCTTGGCGTTCTATTTCCGCTCGGTCCGGACAAACCATCACTAAGTGTGCACATTGCATTCAGCATAAAACTGCTGACCAAAAAAAACTCCAGCAAAAGAAAGTTGCTGAATTCCGGGAATAAACTACTCGAGAAAAGAAAATTGTATTTTATCATTTTGGTTCAAAAGTCTATTGAGTTACCAGAATTTCACGAGATCTGCGCGCTTAGATCAAGGAAAGGCTAACTAAGGAACAAAAATATCACAACTGTCTTTTCTCAAAAAAATCGTAATACCGACTGGGAACCCATCAGGGCGAAGTAAAACTACGAAGAAACTCGCCTTCCCTATGGCAGAGGAACTATTCACTGATGACCCCAAGCGATGTCGCCCGCTTAAGCTCACGGCCTTCGGAGCAAACAAGATGGCCAGTCCTATTCGTTCGTTTAAGGTCGGAAAAGAATAACTTACGGATCCACAGTGAATCGGAACCACCAGGGCAAAACTACAAAAAAGGATTTACCTTCCCTCCGTGGCGGTGGAACCACTCGCTGCTACCACTCAACGTACGCGCCGTGGAAGCGGCTCAGGCTGGTAAATACCCGAACACCAGACACACTAACAGTTTATCTATTAATCGCGAAGACCATGAAACAAGAATAAGTGAATTACATATGAGGCAAGTGAACATAATGGTAACGATGATCCGTGACACAAGATGTAGCTCGCAGTCGGGTAGGCATTAGCCTTGGAGGGGAAGCTTTGGGCAGCCGGTCGGTATCGTGTCTCTCGCCATAATCCTCACAGCTTGGCTTGCTTGATCACGCCCTGAACAGATGACTATAATCTCTCGCATATCATCACGTATCTACTGATGTTTACATTCCTACGGCTACAGTTGCTACTAATGCTTACAAAGATAATATTGATATACAGGGTGTCCGTAAAGTATGTATACACTGTTTGATCGTTAATACCTTTCTTCCCAAGGAGTCTTTTGCCTTTCTTCAGGCACCGTTTTGTAGAGCTGGCTTCAACTTAGATTTGCAGTATAGAACGAATCACCCATCTCTCTTCATTACTGTAGGATTACGGTGGAAACTTCAAAGAGGGTTTTGAGCCATGAAAGGCCATATTTTGCCTCAGAAAGGAAGCAAAACAGCCCGAAAATTTTTACACTAGGCTAATTAGAGTTGTTGATTCTAACTGTAAAGTTCTCAACTTATTATGATGCTTCACTGAAGAATTATGCCAGATAAGAGGTAGCGGCCATTCTTCAAGGTTCCTAAAAGGTGCGGTTACACCGTTAAAAAGCTTCGCAGTCTTCCAAATAGTTGAGTATTAAAGTCAGCGTCCATAAAAACCCTATCACACAAGTTTTCATATTTTTTGAAAAATTTTGAAACGGCAGCTTTTTCCACATTGACACCATATGTTTCAAGTTTCTACCGTAATCCTACAGTAACGAAGAGAGGTGGGTGATTCGTTCTATACTGCAAATCTAAGTTGAAACCAGCTCTACAAAATGGTACTTAAAGCAAGGCAAAAGACTTCTTGGGAAAAGAGATATTAACGATCAAACAGTGTATACATACTTTACGGACACCCTGTATTTTACTCTCTCCATGTTTACAAGGCAATGAATGATCTTTTTCTATAAGCAAAAAAGTGCTTAAAATCATGATAAAGCTGGTCATAAAGTTCTTGTCTGTTTACTGCAAAGATCGACGAGAAAACACAACAAATCTTTTCTCCAAAAAAGCCACTCACTGCCACAACACCAGCATGGCATCCAAAATAAATTGGTCGCTTCATCTGCAATAGATTTACATTCATACACTGCGTCAAAACAGCTAGAGAGCACTTCAAAACTGAACTGCCTTCAAAGACAGCGTCCAGACAAATCTGGTCCTATGGGAATTTTACGTTGGAACTAATTTTGGGGCCCCGACTAAGGCAGTGAAGCGGCAGCGCAGATGATCCCTAACGGCTGAAATATACGCCTCCAAACTGAACCCAGGATCGTATTCGCATGGATATGGCGCAACCCAGCAGTTTTTCGCGAGGACCCATAGGTTGCGCCATAAATCCATGCGAGATTCGATCCTGGGGTCTAGTTTCGAGGAGAATATCTCGACCGTTAGAGCACTACCTGGGCTGCCGGTTGGGCAGTGGCTTAGTTAAAGCCCCAAAAATACAATCCACGTGAGTCCCCATATGTCCGGATTTGCCTGAACCTGCCTTCAAGTGAAAAGGGAATTAGCAGATTCTTTTAGTGCCTGTCATGTTCCAATTCTGGCTTTATTGAAGTTATCGAAAAACCGAAGATGACAGGCATTACGCTTGGGTTCGAATCGAAGATGAAAATTCGATCATTTAAACAAAGCCTTCTAATATATTCGCATTAGAAATGCAAAACTCGGAGTTTTCCATCGTCGAATAAACTCGATAATCGAAAAACGGGGTTTCGTAAAATTTGAAACTCGAACAATTAAAAACGGGGTTGGAATGAAGTCCGAAAACTGTTGCGCATGAATTTTATTTGAATGCTTCATTCAAATGTTCCATTCGTTCGTATTCGAATAGAATTTGTAAAAAATTATTCGAGGGTGGCAACTTGTAGGCGGAAGGGTGGCGCTTCAGATTATTACAAGGGTAAGGGTGGCCCTCTTTTGCAGATGAATTCGAAGTGATTCACCGGAGGATTTCTTCACCGTTCGTCTCAACGACAATACGAGTGGCTTGTCGCCAGAAGCGGTTATGCCCAAAACTTGAGCGGAGAGGGAGAGAGAGAGCGGTGAGAGGTTTTGGTATGTTCCAGAACACTACCACCAGCGCGACAACAAACAGCAAAATGGAAACAACAAAAAGGCAAATCAAATCAAGTACAAATTTGAACATGTGTGCATGAAAATCTACTTGTCTGTGCCAATGTCGCCTACTCCAGAATGTGGCATGCAATATATGCCAGCGGCATTTGGATCAGTATCGTAAACGCGTTCGATAATGTCTTGATTTTATAATTTTCATTTTATCATCTTTGGAACACTCGTCTGAGGCGATGCCGAGGCCTTATAACCAGGAACCAGCACGAAGTGGCATATGAGGAATTCAAAGACGAAGTCCACCTTTATATTGCAGAAAATAACGAGATACCTTTGCAGTGTTTGTAGGGGCTCCTCTAATAATCTGCAGCAAAAAATGGATTGAAGTGAAGGAAAGACAAGAACAAGTCAAATTTTAAAAAGAGAAATGCGAAAAAAGGCTGTTTCCATGACATCAAGGTCATTAAAAAGCACAGGGGACGAACATGGGTAAAAATTACTGATGGGTATAATCTCTTGATCTAAAAAACTGATTCATGTAAAAGAAATTCTGGAAATTTGTGTGAGGAAGGAGGGGGAATTCTGAGTATTCACAACTTTATCTGGATCAGCGCAACCTCAGGGTGCTCCCAGGTCGCGCGGGAGCAGCTTAAAATCGAGAAACACTTACAGATCCGTTCACATACTTTTTTTTCACAAGTTTTCATACTTTTTTTGATTATCGTCGTGGGTGTACACACCAAATTTGCTGACTCAGTGTTGCTTACTCGTTGTAAACAAAGTGATTGTTTATATTTTTGTTCGTACAGATTGTGTTTTGACACGTTGAAACCGTGTGCGCACAGGTTTATGGACTAGTCGTGTTTGTAACATGCTAATTTACTTGTAACTGGTATAATCAAGTTAGACCTCCAAATTCGGGCTTGTTAAGAGTCAGAACTGTGCTTTCTAATTTTCAGGTTTCGGGGAAATTTTACGGGTTCTCCTTTGCTTTCCCTTCAAAAAAGACATCCAGCGTGTGAAAGCGCCACCTCTGGTGAGCCCTGCTTCTAACTCAAAAAGTTTCTCTTGAATTTTATTGTCTGTGCTCTCGTAGATGAAAGTAACCTATGAAATGTTCGGTACATTTTGTGCTGATTCGATTTTTTCGCAGCCGTAGATTGCGACTCTAAACATAGTTTTCACTATGCGTAGACCAAAAGGTAGTCTTCGTGATGACCCCTACTCTATGACTTGGTCGTGATATCCATCAAGTCCGACCAGTATTTTGGACATCTGCTGGCGTTCACCTTGCAACTTGGAATTTGCCAAGAAGATGTCATGAAGTTGGAGATAATCAGCGTGTGCTTTTGGACTGAAGGAAAAACCATTTGTTAAAATAGGCTTCGTTTGTACCGTCTTGATCTCCTTGCCATATGCTGAGCGGATTTTTGGAGGTACCGCAGAACTTTCAAATCTTTCGATGTGTCCTCCGATGCCAAACATAACACAGGTTTCAATAGCTAACATGGGGAGTTCAAAATTGCTAGCGTTGTTATCTTCTATGATGGTTTTTTATGCCGCTGTATCAAAAAAGAACAGAACCTTTTTCGAATCTGTGACTGTTATTATTATATTAACTGTTATTATTAGAGAGGCTACCTTCACCTGTCATTAGTACGAGTTGTTCGCGATTTTCATTCAGAACGTTCACATGGAATGAGTGGTTTTTTTCCTGCTCTGTCTGCACGTTCATAGGAGAGTCGTTGGACCTGTTATCACCTGTAATCCGTCTTGGTTATGCAAAATAAGTTTGAATTTCATTTCTACGTGGCCTTCGATCGACTGGTGATTGCCACGCTCGACTGGACGAGGACTGTCACGAGGATATGCAGAGACACGGACGGTGTTGCTGCCCGCACAAGTGACAGTCAGGTATGCTGCACTGATTACTGGAGTATTATTGAGGCATTTCCAGCAGAGTTTTTGGCTCGGAAAATTCCATCCCTTATGTATATGCGACACCGTTCGGCAAGATGCGGACGCGTGGTTTGTGCGGTTGCAAAACGCACAGTTTGAAACCTTTTTTGAGGAAGTATCATTCTCCTGTGTGGAACCACATCACAATCACCGAAAAGTTTGGAAGAAATCTCTTTTTCCAGAAGACGCAGGAGTTCAGAAATTTTGAGGTCTTTGTTTTCCTGGTAATTTAGGAGAACATCTTTAACGACGCCGTATGGGAACTTCTTTATGATCGTCTCGGTCCACATGGGGTCACTCAT